TATCCATATAAGTATTCTGTTTTTCACTTTTAGTGCAGTATTCAATAAATTACACGAGTTATTCAGCACTTTATAATAAAGTAGGCTTTGTGTTAGATGATTTTGCCCAACTCTAGGCTACTGTGTTATGAGCATGTTTAAGGTAGGCTAGGCTAAGCTATGATGTTTGGTAGGCTAAGTATATTAAATATACTATTGACTTATATCTTCAACTTAGGATAGGTTTACTGGAATGTAACTCCATTGTAAATTGAGGAACATCTGTGGTTGTTCCCTCTTTTTGAGCTACTGTTCTGCTGTAGCTTGCTTTTTTCTCTTAATTTCAGCTCTTAGCCTAAATGTCGCTGTTGCATCAGAAAAGCTTTATCTACTAGTCACCCAGCACTCTCTTATCATATTAGCCTATTTTAATTCTGTAGCGAATCTTATAATTTTCTTTTTTTTTTTTTAATTAGACGGAGTTTTGCTCTTGTTGCCCAGGCTGGAGTGCAACAGTGCTATCTTGGCTCACTGCAACCTCCGCTTCCCGGGTTCAAGCGATTCTCCTGCCTCAGCTTCCCAAGTAGCTGGGATTACAGGTGTGGGCCAACACACCTGGCTAATTTTGTATTTTTATTAGAGACGGGGTTTTGCCATGTTGGTCAGGCTGGTCTCGAACTCCTGACCTCAGGTGATCCACCTGCCTCGGCCTCGCAAAGTGCTGGGATTACAGGTGTAAGCCACCGCGCCCAGCAAACCTTATAATTTTCTTGTTGACTTCATTTTTATTGTTTTATTGCTTGATTCCTCTCACATTCAGATACCTTGTCTTTCTACTTCTGTGTCCTTGTGCCTGACACATTTTTTGAATGAGTACGTTGAGAAAAATAAAACTGGTACAACCTTTAACTTACAGCCTCCATATGTACAAAATTGGTCTCTGTCTGAACCTATGCTCACTCTTTCTTTTTCCTGTTCTAGGAGGTGTCTTCTTGTTGTAAAATATATTTTTTTAATTTTTTTTTTGAGACAGAGTCTCATTCTGTCTCCCAGGCTGGAATATGGTGGTGTGATCTTGACTGACTGCAACCTCCACCTCAAGCGGTCCTCCCACTTCAGCCTCCTGAGTAACTGGTACTACAGGCGCCCATCACCACGCCTACCTAATTTTTTTGTATGTTTTTGTGGAGATGGGGTTTCACAATGTTGCCCAGGCTGAATTTTAATTGTTTAGAAATAGACACAAAGCATTTTGGGAGGCCAAGGCGGGCGGATCACCTGAGTTCAGGAGTTTGACACCAGCCTGGCCAACATGGCGAAACCCTGTCTCTACTAAAAATACAAAAATTAATCAGGCATGGTGGCGCACGCCTGTAATCCCAGCCACTTGGGAGGCTGAGCCAGGAGAATCACTTGAACCTGAGAAGTGGAGGTTGTGGTGAGCTGAGATCACGCCATTGCACTCCAGCGTGGGCGACAAGAGCAAAACTCCATCTCAAAAAAAAAAAAAAAAAGGAAATAGGGACAAGGTCTTGCCGTGTGGCCCAGGCTGGAGTGCAGTGGCTATTCACAGGCATGATCATAGCACACTGCAGCCTCAGACTCTTGGACTCACTCAAGCAATCCTTCTGCTTCAGCCTCTGGAGTAGCCGAGACTTACACCCATACCACCACCACTCCTAGCTAATTCCTTCTCTCTCTCTCTCTCTTTTTTTTTTTTTGGAGATGTGGTTTCACTCTTGTCCCCCAGGCTGTAGTGCAGTGGCGTGGTCTTGGCTCACTGCAACCTTTGCCTCTGGGTTCAAGTGATTCTCCTGCTTCAGCCTCCCGAGTAGCTGGGATTACAGGTGCCTGCCAGCATGCCTGGCTAATTTTTTTGTAATTTTTAATAGAGGCAGGGTTTCACCATGTTGACCAGTTATCACTTACCTCCTTTTCTCTTCTGGATGTTTCTTAATATGAACTATGTTTAGTTTTCAGTTTTTGCTGGATATTAATCTGTAGTTACAGTGTCAGTCTCCCCCACCTCTTTCCACAGACTAACATAGGAACCTACAATTTTAATATTTTTATTGTAAAATGTATTGTTTATAACTACCTGACTGACTTTTGGAATGTAGCACTTGTAAACTGGGAACTGTCTGTATTTGTTTTATTAATATGAGTTATTAACTCTGTTGTACTTAGAATATAGTTATCTTGTGAGGTGGAGTCTTTTTTCCCTGGCCATGTTCTTCCCTTTTGACTTAAACACTTGATAGGAAGAAGAGCTTTCTAAAATGCTGTGAAAATATTCATGAACCAAATGTTTTTTGTTGATTCGGCTTGTCTTTATGTGCTAGGCTTATATATGGGGCTAACTGGATGTGGTGGCATGAGCCTTTAATCCCAGCTATTCGGGCAGCTTAGGCAGGAGGATTGCTTGAATCCAGGAGTTCGAGGTTGCAGTGAGCTATGATTGAACCACTGTACTCTAGCCTGAGTGACAGAGTGAGGCTCTCAAAAAAAAACCAAAAAAAAAAAAAAAAACCAAAAAAAAAAACTTAAGAAAACAAGAGTTCAAGAAATGTTGTATTGAGAATGACGTATCTTAGTTTTACAATTTTCATATTATTTCAAGAGTTCTTTTTTTTTTTTTTTTTTTTTTTCTTTTGAGATAGAATCTTGCTGTTGCCCAGGCTGGAGTGCAGTGGCATGGTCTTGACTCACTGCAACTTCCACCTCCCAGGTTCAAGTGATTCTCCTGCCTCAGCCTCCCGAGTAGCTGGAATTACAGGCATGTGCCACCATATCCGGCTAATTTTTGAAGAATTCTTGATCATTAGTTATTAAATGGGAATTTATCCTAAGGAAATAATCTGATGTATAGAAGACTGAAATGCCCAAGCCTGTTCATCACTGTGATGTTGCAGTAGTAAAGACTTGAAAACAAAATAAATGTTAAAACAAAGCTGGGGGGAGATGGTTAAGATATGTTATTGTCTATCCATAGACTAGAATTATTTAAATATCTCAAAAAAGTTTATAATGAGCTTTTGGTGACACAAGAAAATAGCTATTTTTAAATGTGAAATAAAAACGAGAACATGTGCTTCCATTAATGTTAGCTTAGGTTGTTTTGAACCAAATATACTGCTAACAACTAGAAAAACTAGAAGACATAGAATTATTATCAAGACAGTGTAAGAAATTATGACAAATTTGGGAAGTTGAGGAAAGCTGTGAGAAATTTATTTTCATGTAATGTGTAAGGGATCTAGTTTTGTTTTTTTCCATATGGAGAGCAAAGTTTTCAGTAGTTTTTCTCTTGTATTCTTGATTTTTAATGTTCACTGCTGATACTGAATTTCCTTATGTGCATGTGTGAGTCTGTTTCTGGACTTTCTGTTCCAATAGTTTGTCTTTTCCAGACACAGAAAAGTCCGTGTAAATAGAGAGCACAAACAAGATGTTAGGAAGAAATCCAAATTTATTTGTTGGACAAACACAAAATGGACTAAACTTACCAGTTAGAAAACAATGATTGTTACATTGGATTTTTAAAATCTGTCTTTATGATCTTTAAAAGAAACACTTAAAACATAACTCAGAAAAGTTGAAAGTAAAAGATGGGCTGAAGAATTATCAGACAAATTCTGAGAGTCTAACTGTAGGACTCTCAGCTCCAGGCTTTGCTGGGTCCAAGACCTGTCTGTTCCTGTTCCTCAAGCGGTTGTTAAAACTCAAACCCTAGTAATCCCAGCACTTTGGAAGGCCGAGGCAGGCGGATCACCTAAGGTCAGGCATTTGAGACCAGCCTGGCCAACATGGCGAAACCCCATCTCTGCTAAAAATACTAAAATTAGCTGGATGTGATGGCAGGTGTCTGTAATCCCAGCTACTTGGGAGGCTGAAACAGGAGAATCACTTGAACCTTGGAGGCGGCGGCTGCAGTGAGCTGAGATTGTGCCATTGCACTCCTGTCTGGGCAAAAAGAGCAAAACTCCATCTCAAAAACAAAAAACAAACAAAGGTCTGGGCGCAATGGCTCACGCCTGTAATCCCAGCACTTTGGGAGGCTGAGGCGGGTGGATTATGAGGTCAGGAGTTTGAGACCAGGCTGACCAACATGGAGAAACCCTGTGTCTACCAAAAATACAAAATTAGCCGGGCATGGTGGTACATGCCTGTAATCCCAGCTACTGGGGAGGCTGAGGCAGGAGAATCGCTTGAACCCAGGAGGTGGAGGTTGCGGTTAGCCAAGATCACACCATTGCACTCCAGCCTGGGCAACAAGAGCAAAACTCTGTCTCAAAAAACAGACAAAACTCTGTAATCCCCTAGATTACAGAGATTTACCTCCCAGGGCAGTCATGTCCTTTATTTCCGTCCCTGGGAATTTTCTTTAGTCTATTATAGGGGTCAGGCTGGACACAGTGGCTCATGCCTATAATCCCAGCATTTTGGGAGGCTGAGGCAGTTGGCATCGTTTGAGCCTAGGAGTTTGGGACTAGCCTGGGCAACATGTCTCTACAATAAAAACAATTAGGTGGGTGTGGTTACGCATGACTGTAGTCCCAGCTACCCAGGAGGCTGAAGTGGGAGGATCACCTGAGCCTGGGGATTTGAGGCTGCACTGAGCCGTGATTGCTCCACTCCACTCCAACCGTGAGACCCTGTCTCAGATAAATAAATAAATAAAAATATTGTGGGGATTAGCAGTATATTTAAAAGTAATTTGCCGTATTTCATCTGGCATGTTTTAGGCATTTATGTGGATGTTTTCCCCTAGTTGTTTGGTCTGTGTGTTATCTGTACCATTAGTCTCTCAAAGGGATTTAAAAACACATTCTTCTGGGGGACCACTAAAAATTTTCAGATGATTGCCTGTGGGCAATGGGGTTATGGATCTGTTTCTTATATTCTCATGTATTTTTCATATTTTGCAAAACAGCACATATATCATCACTTTCTTAAACTTAAAAAAGGGAGCTGTCCTTAAAATTCTCCAAGTAATAGCCCTTCTTTTTCATTTGTTGCAGGTGGTGCGGTTGTGTCAGAACCCAAAGCTGGCGCTAAAGAATAGCCCACCTTATATCTTAGACCTGCTGCCAGATACCTACCAGCATCTCCGTACTATCTTGTCAAGATATGAGGGGAAGATGGAGACACTTGGAGAAAATGAGTATTTTAGGGTATTCATGGAGAATTTGATGAAGAAAACTAAGCAAACCATAAGCCTCTTCAAGGAGGGAAAAGAAAGAATGTATGAGGAGAATTCTCAGCCTAGGTAATGGAGAAATACTACACAAATAATAATGCAGGTCTGTGACTGCCTGAATGGGTAACACATAGAAGTAGTTGAGTTGGTTTTAATTTTATGTTAGTAGGAATGGAAAGTTGACATTTGATTTAAAGGTATAGTTTATATAAAAGGTTGCCATGTATGACATTGTAGTATCCCTAACTCTGATTTGCTTACCTCTGAAAAATCATTTACTGATAGTAATGAAAATGAGTTGGAGGCAGTAGGTCCTTTGGAGAACCTGAAGATCATGAAAGTTTGTGAGTAGATGGGAGTTTGGAAGAAAGAAGATTGGGGTTAAGTGGAGTTTGAGAGTAAATAAGAGGCAGATCTTGCCCAAAGCTGTAGCATATAGGTAAATTTATATGTGGGATAATAGGGGAAAAAGCCACTAGTTAAACTTCTTAAAACATGAAGCTTTTGCGGGCGCCTGTAGTCCCAGCTACTCGGGAGGCTGAGGCAGGAGAATGGTGAAAACCCAGGAGGCGGAGCTTGCAGTGAGCTGAGATCCGGCCACTGCATTCCAGCCTGGGCGACAGAACAAGACTCCGTCTCAAAAAAAAAAAAAAAAAACATGAAGCTATGTGAAATGACATTTTCTTTACAGGTAAAAGTAACTTTTCAAATAAAATAGGTAGAGGTGAGTGCAGTTAATTCAATAAATATTTGAAGGATCACTATGTATTCTTTTGTATTAATTTTATTATCATTATTATTATTTTTTTGAGACAGAGTCTGGCTCTGTTGCCCAGGCTGGAGTGCAATGGCACGATTTCGGCCTCTAGGTTCAAGTGATTCTCCTGTCTCAGCCTCCTGACTAACTGGGATTATAGATATGTACCACCATGCCTGGCTAATTTTTATATTTTTAGTAGAGATGGGGTTTCACCATGTTGGCCAGGCTGGTCTCCAACTCCTGACCTCAGGTGATCTGCCCGCCTTGGCCTCACAAAGTGCTGGGATTACAGGTGTGAGCCATCACGCCTGGCCCTCTTTTGTGTTTATTAAATACCAGAAACTATAGGCTATCCTGCATGTTGTTAGCTTGGCTGTCATAAATTACGTACTGGGAGAGAAATAAGTTAACTGTATGTGTGAATGTAATTGTGTTTGATTTTGTTCAATTGGAACTAAATATTAACTCATCTAGAATGAGTAATAAAATAATTTCACTATAATTTTTTAGTGAGTAAGTTACTATCGAGGAGTGACTTGAATTAGAAGGAACAGTATTTCTGAAGACATCTGGTTACCATGCTTGACTCTAGCAGTAACATACTAAATTGTGTCCTTGTTGTCTACTTTCCTTTGGGCCTGTTGGCCTAGATTCTGGCAACCCTAGCTCTCAGTTAAGATTTTATGCACATGATTATCCATATTACCATTATTGCAAACAAATTACTCAGGTGTAGTCTGAATAATGAACTCTAAATGTCCATCTTTTCTTTCTTTTTTTTGTTTGTTTGTTTGAGTCTTGCTCTTGTCACCCAAGCTGGAGTGCAGTGGCGCGATCTTGGCTCAGTGCAACCTCCACCTCTTAGGTTCAAGCGATTCTCCTGTCTCAGCCTCCCGAGTAGCTGGGATTACAAGCATGCACCACTGTGCCCGGCTAATGTTTGTATTTTTAGTAGAGACGGAGTTTTGCCATGTTGGCCAAGCTGGTCTTGAACTCCTGACCTCAGGGGATCTGCCTGCCTCAGCCTCCCTAAGTGTTGGGATTGCAGGTGAGAGCCACTTCTGCTGGCCTGTCCATCTTTTCTTAAAAAGATTCTGATGAGTGAATTCAATCCATAAGAACCTTTGTTCTAGTTTATCTGGAAGTGAACTTTATTCCTTTTAAATATTCAAATTTCGTAACTTGTTAAAACCGCGACTGTATGGACCTTTTAGCTAGCTAGTCATTTTGTATTGCTGAGTTCCTAAAAAATAATTTTAATTCATTAGGTACCAAAACTTAAAAATTTTATTTACCATGTACTGTGAACTAGGTTCTGGTTCTAGGAGGTGAAAAGGAAAGTTAAGCATTCAAATTTGAGGTGATATGACAAATGCATTAATAGAGATATGTACAAAATGCTATTGGGAGACAGGCACAGTGACATGCATCTGTAGTTCTAGCTACTCAGAAGACTGAGGTGGGAGGATTCCTTCAGCACAGGACATTGAGACCAGCCTGGGCAACACAGCGAGACCTCTTCTTAAAGTAAATGAAACATTTTTAAAAAGTGCTGTGTGAATACAGTTTTGTCCAGGGGCATCAGATAAGGTGGCATAAAGGACTTGTAATTTGAATTAGAGTTTGAAGGATAAGTAGGAATTTTCTAGGCAGAGAAGTCAAAGTCTTAACACAGTGGCATGAAAACGGAGGCGCTGGTATGTTTAAAATAAATAAAAGTCTGGTTTGGTTAGAATTGTGGGAGATAGATATGCTGGAAATACAGGTCGAAGTCAGATTGTGAAGGGCTGTTTTTTGACTTCTAGACTTTCTCCTATAGATGATAATTTTTGACTTCTAGACTTTCTTCTATAGATGATAGGCTGTCATAGAACAGGTTTATTTTAAAGAGCATTTCTTTTTTCTTATTTATTTATTTTTTCGAGATGGAGTCTCTCTCTGTCGCCCAGGCTGGAGTGCAGTGGCGCGATCTTGGCTCACTGCAAGCTCCGCCTCCCGGGTTCACGCCATTCTCCTGCCTCAGCCTCCCAAGTAGCTGGGACTACAGGCGCCCGCCACCACGCCCGGCTAATTTTTTGTATTTTTAGTAGAGACGGGATTTCACAGTGTTAGCCAGGATGGTCTCGATCTCCTGACCTCATGATCCGCCCGCCTCGGCCTCCCAAAGTGCTGGGATTACAGGCGTGAGCCACCACGCCCAGCATCTTTTTTTTTTTTTTTATTGAGACGGAGTCTCACTCTGTTGCCTAGGCTGGAGTGCAATGGCACAATATTGGCTCACTGAAAACTCTGCCTCCTGCAGTCAAACAATTCTCTTGCTTCAGACTCCCAAATAGCTGGGATTACAGGTTTGTGCATCACGCTGGGCTAATTTTTTTGTATTTTTAGTAGTGACAGGGTTTCACCATATTGAGGCTCGGTGGTCTCAAACCACCTAGGCTCATAGGCTGGTCTCAAACTCCTGGCCTTAAGTGGTCTGCCCGCCCTGGCGTCTGTTTTATATGTATTCTTACGGTAAAGTGTGGTAGAGAAAAGAAAATGTTATTAAAATCATAAGGAAGATAAAACATTTATTATTTAGTAAATGGAAGTGGATTCTCATAAAGGTCTTCATCCTCATTGTCTTCATGTTGAATAGGAAGAGGAGGGGTTGGCTGCTGTCTTGGTACTGAAAATTCCAGTACTGGTGTTTCTGTGGTAGAGGCAGAATAGGTGGAGGAGGAGGAAGGGGAGGCAGGACAGGCAGGCACATTTGGTGTTACTTAAATTGAAAAAAAATCTGTGTATAAGTGGACCCACACAGTTAAACCCATGTTGTTAAGGCTCAACTATATCTAATTTACCCTTACCAAATGACTTCAGTATGTGTTGACAAGTTCTTTTGCCTCTTTTTAAACCTCACTGTCAGTGTGCCTATCTGTATCAATTTCATTCCCCTTAACATGAGGTTTTTAATATTTTATGGATTTTGAACCCAGATTTGTACAAATTATATGTAAAATGAGAGTAAACAGATTGCAGGTGAGGATCAAGGAGTTCATTTTTTCGGTCAACTTTCTCAGGTTGAAAGGGTTTTTGTAAATAGGGAAAAATATATAGGCTTTTTTATGATCTTTGTGATCTTTTTGGTTACTTAGAGGTTTTTTTTTTTTCTATTCAATTTTTAAATTGAGATGTAATTCACATACCATAAAATTCACCCTTTTAAAGTGTACAATTTTGTGGTTTTTAGTGTATTCACAAAGTCAGGCAACCATCACCCCTCTGTAATTCCAGAACATTTTCATCCCCCACAGGAAACCCTACTCCCATTAGCAGTCACTCTTTTTTCCTCTCTCTGGATCTCCCCCCGCCCTTGGTAATCACTAATACCTACTTTCTGTCTGTGTGGATTTGCCTGCTCTGGACATTTCGTGTAAGTGGAATCACATTAACGGTGGCCTTTTGTGGGTTTTTTGTGTGTCTTCTTTCCCTTAGAATGCTTTTACAGTTCATCCATATTGTAGCATGTATCAGTACCTCATTCCTTTTTATGGCTAAATGATATTTCTTTTTTTTTTTTGAGACGGAGTCTCGCTCTGTCGCCCAGGCTGGAGTGCAGTGGCCGGATCTCGGCTCACTGCAAACTCCGTCTCCTGGGTTCATGCCATTCTCCTGCCTCAACCTCCCGAGTAGCTGGGACTACAGGCGCCCGCCACCTCGCCCGGCTAGTTTTTTTGTATTTTTTTAGTAGAGACGGGGTTTCACCATGTTAGCCAGGATGGTCTCGATCTCCTGACCTCATGATCCGCCCGTCTTAGCCTCCCAAAGTGCTGGGATTACAGGCGTGAGCCACCACGCCCGGCCAATCATATTTCAATGTATGGATATACCATATTTTGTTTATGATGTTTGTGTTGTTTCTACTTTTTGGCTATTAATAATGTTGCTATGAATGTTTATGTGCCAGTTTTTGTATGACTATAGCCATATAAACATATATACATAAATGTTTTCACTTCTTTTGAGTATATATGTACACATAGGAGTGGAATTGCTGAGTCATATGGTATTCTGTGTTCAACTTTTTGAGTAACCTCCAAACTGTTTCCACAGTAGGTGTACCATTTTTCGTTCCTCTAGCGATGTATATGGGTTCTGATTTTTTGCTAACACTTGCTATTGACTTTTTATTATAGCCATTCTACTTGGGGTAAAGTGGTGTCTTGAGGTTTTGAAATGCATGTGAATACCTTTTCATGTGCCTATTGGATGTTTGTATATAGTTGTCCCCCTTTATCCTCCGTTTCACCTTCCTTGGATTCAGTTA